TTCTACAATTAGCAAACAAGTATGAATTATAATTTTATTCATAAAATATTATTGCAACACATCTAATCACTATAATAGAGAGGAGGACTGTCGGGCTCGTCGAACATTGTCGGTTGGTATTATGTGAACGGCTAACGAATTTTCAGCGAGAGGTTAACAATAGCAAAACGTAGTCTAATCCTTAGCTGTTCGGATGCCGTGAAAATTTTGACGAGGTGGCGGTTGTGAAATGTGGATGCAACAGCGAAGGCATGCTGTAATCACAGGGAGATCGGGCCGCGAGCGGAGACCGCAGAAGCGGGAGTGTACGTCGCCGGCAGAGATTATTCATCACCGTGGAAGGACAGTCGCCGCGAAAATTGTTCAGGTGGTGGCGGAAGATGAGCCCCTGCGGTCCACGATGAAGAAACTCGGCGGGACTTCTCGACCGGCGGCCAAGAGGAACTCGACGGGACTTCTCAACCCACGGGATCGGATCTTTGATGCTGAATAATAAGTTTGTTTAGGAATCTATGAACAATAGCAAGTTGTCATGTTCTTTTTTACTCAATTGTAGGCCCTCTTTTTTTCTATTTTTTTTCCAGGATAAATTGGGATATATCCCAATTCCCGATAATCATGTATAAAATTAACTCCTTTAATCGTGTTTAGTGGGTAGTTGTTTTGGTATTTTAAACTGCTGAAATAACAGTCACTATATTACTTTCCTTAATTAATTAAAATTCGTAATTATGTATATAAGTTACTGATTTCATATTTTTAATATTAATTAACAAATGATTAGTAAACTGTGTAAATTTCTCTTGCCGCATTCGAGTATCCAAGATGGGCCAACGCCTCGTCAAATCAAGGCCCGCCAGCGAAAAGCCCAATTCGTGTGCTGGAGCTCAAGGCCCACGGACGTCAAAGCACGATTCACACATCGCAAATCACGAAAGCAAACACGAGCCCTCGTCTGTATGCATAGTAGTACCGTCCTTTCTTCGTCTCTCTCAATCTCTCTCACTGTAAATTTTTCAACTTTCAACTATCGCATTACCAAATAGTCAACTCGAAATTCTCACCTACTTCCCTAACATTTCATTTTATTCACCCTCATTTTTTGGGAATCTAAAGCAAAAAATTTCACCCTTTTGTAAATCATCGTTGCCATTTTCTTGATAATTTTTGTTTCTCCGGAGACCCCTTTTCACTTGGAGGTGAGTTCATCTGTTTTTTTGCTCTCTTCTGAAAAAATTAGAGATTTTGTGATTAATTGTGCTTTCGATTTGCAGTTGCATTGCTTTATATATATTCTGCGGCCATTTGCATCGACCCTTTTCGAATCTTTGTTTTGGGTATTTTTGGTTTCGTATGAATTCGTGACAGATGATTTTGTGTGGTTCCTTTTGCTTTCTTGAAGTTCTCTGCTGGCTGTATATGAATGCAATTAATATTGGCTGATTTGAGGCCTTAAAAGATTGGTTTGCCGTTTCAATGGTGTTAATGCAGGAAATTTTGAAGTTTCAGTTAAAATGGTGAAGTTTGGTCATCTATCTGATAAGCCAATATAATGCTAATATTTTTTGTTTAGTTGAATTTGATGTTGTGTTGTTCCTTGGATATATCTTTGCTTCTGCCATTGAAGACGCTTGTATCTTATGTGAGGCGACGATCATTACACTGCAAAGCCCATCAATAATATTGGTTTGGTTATGCTTTATCTTGTTATTTCCTCGTGTGAAAATCGGAGTTGTACGGTAGAGTAATTTAAGTAGGTAACATGAAACACAAAAGGATTTGTATATGGACGATTGCAACTTCTTCAGCACATAGGTATGCTTCCATTAGGTCATCAAAGAACTAAATGTACCGATCCAAAAAAGAGCTAAATGTATTTTGAGGCAGAAAAAAATGTGGCTAAGTCGAAACCACGCAGCAAGATCATTGCTGAACTCCGAAACAACTCACAGATGACCTGGTGTAAATTTTATTATGTGTAAATTCTTTTCTTCTTCGACTGCCGTTGTTCCATATAAAAAGGGAAAAAGGAGAAGAAATTGGAATATGTAGAGAATCCTACTCTTCCACTGCAGTTTTGCGTTAACAGGCTCTAAGGGCTCTCTGTGCCATTCTTTCAATTTCTGTTTCAATTGATAACACTCACTCTCGACTGTATGATTTTGCTCTTACCAACACTTAACATATATCTTCTGCGTACATCACGATGATCTGAGTTCTTCTGATGTTTGAATTTATACAAATTTCTGTGCAAATCTGCCATCTGCTTCAGATCATATACTCACAGAACCTCTCTTGATCTATTATCTTACTGATCAGACTTATTAACCTTCGTCTTTGGATTTTAACAGGAGGGTCTCTTTTTTCCTAACTCACAGACTTGAGGAATCACCTTTACTGATCTGGATTAAAATAAGAACGAGCTGCTGGTTTCTCCATTCATGAAACCAAAAGACAATGAGGATCCCTTTCTTCCCCAAGCGCTATGTGATCGTGATCTTGACCTTCATCTGCACCTGCGTGTGCTACATAGAGCGGGTCGGCTTCTCCATAGCTTACACCGCCGCTGCTGATGCTGCGGGAGTAAATCAGTCGAGCAAAGGAATAATACTCTCCACGTTCTACTATGGGTACGCGTGCTCCCAAGTGCCAGGTGGCTGGGCGGCCCAGAAAATCGGGGGCAGGCGAGTGCTTCTTCTCTCGTTCGTCCTCTGGTCCTTCACCTGTGCCTTCGTGCCCCTCGACCCGAACCGAGTCACGCTCCTGGTCGTGGCTCGCCTGCTAGTGGGCGTGGCCCAGGGCTTCATCTTCCCCTCGATCCACACCGTGCTGGCCCAGTGGGTCCCACCGCACGAACGTTCGAGATCGGTCTCCCTCACGACCTCTGGCATGTACTTTGGGGCAGCCGCTGGCATGCTCGTGCTCCCGACCCTCGTCAGGCTGCGTGGGCCACAGTCGGTGTTCGTGGCCGAGGCTGCCCTGGGTGCTATGTGGTCTCTGCTCTGGTTCAGGTATGCGAGTGAGCCATCCCGTTCGGACCACCGAAAAGCCACGGCAGCTGGCTTTAGCGAGTCCTTGCTACCAACGAGAGAGAATAATAATAATCAGAAAAGTAAGGCAGAAAACGGGCTGCATCATCCGGTTAAGACGACGCCCAAGATTCCTTGGAAGAGGATTTTTCTCAGTTTGCCGATTTGGGCTATAGTGGTGAATAATTTCACTTTCCACTATGGTCTTTACGTGCTCATGAACTGGCTCCCGACCTACTTCGAGCTGGGCCTGCAGCACAGCCTTCAGGAAATGGGGTCGTCCAAAATGGTGCCGTATCTCAACATGTTTGTGTTTTCGAACATAGGTGGTGTGGTTGCAGACCACCTGATCACGAGGAGGATTTTGTCCGTGACTAAAACGAGAAAGCTTTTGAATACCGTGGGGTTTGTGGTGGCCTCTTTTGCATTGATGGGGCTTCCTCTGTTCAGGACGCCTAATGGGGCTGTGTTTTGTTCGTCTGTGGCTCTCGGTTTCTTGGCGCTCGGGCGGGCTGGGTTTGCAGTGAATCACATGGATGTTGCCCCAAGGTATGCCGGTATTGTTATGGGGGTTTCTAATACGGCGGGTACTTTGGCTGGGATAGTGGGGGTTGATCTTACAGGTCGGCTTCTAGAAGCGGCTAAGGAGGCCGAGCTGGATCTCACGAGCCCAGATAGCTGGAGGGCTGTTTTTTGTATCCCGGGCTTGCTTTGTATTTTTAGCTCGGTTGTGTTTCTTCTGCTATCCACAGGGGAGAGGATTTTTGAATGAGTAAAGGAATAATCAGTCTTTTATACTTTTGCTTGAATGCGGGAAAGATTTGTTTGCTTACTTTTCCCCATTTTGATTGCACTTTCACTGTATTGCTGAAAATGTTCTTACTGGACACATCTAGTATATGGCAGCATCAAAACCAAAAAAATTGATTTTCTGGTGTTGTGATTAAGAAATAAAATGTTATTCATGGTTATAACTAGTTGATTCATGTTGGTTTTGTTTTATGTTGGAATGAGCATGATAGATTCTTGAGGATAGTACAGTGATCTCATTGCAGGTTGAACCAGCTTCATTAACACAATAATGGTGTCTTAACATTAGTAAATAAAAGAGAGCTCTTGCAAGATCCCAAGTTACATTCAACTGAAAACTTATCAATGTTGATATGTTTTCTTAATGGAAAGTTGAGGTTGTTACATTAAACCGAATATGAATTGTAATGATTCAAGCTGAACTTGTGCTTCATTCATAAGTTCAAGAATCGACTTTTGCTGCTGCGGATGCATAGCTCACGCTGCTGTCTCTCATGGACTTGCACTGGCTCGATTGCTCATATCGCAAGAATCGAATCTTTACCTTTGTCGAGCTATTCTTCAGCATCTGGTTCAATTTGGAATAAAAATCTTGTTAGGAAATCAACCAAAAAAAACAAAATAAAATGCGAATAATACAGATCAGAAGATTTTACTTAAGCTTAAGAAATTTACATGAAGAAAAACACTAATCGGATGGCGTCCACATATAGTATTGTCCGTCTCCAGTAGGTATTGCTTAAATGAATCCGGGTCTCCAGTTTCTATTATGTCCATTCCAGTTTTGTCCAAAGCCTCTATAGACTTGTAGATGGCTCCATGCTTTTTATCATAATGCGTGTAGTTGAACCTACGCAACCAATCAAATTCGTCGTTGGTCTCTACTAGTAATAACCATAAGGCACTATACCTCAAAGCATAACATACCGGGAACCCCAGTGACAAAAATCTGAAGACACGGAAAAGAAATTTGTAGGGTCATCCACATATTTCGCTAACAATCGGCCATACACGGCTTCACTTTCAGCACTAAGAGCACCAACTAGAATGGGCACAATCTTCACGGGGTACCTGCGTTGATTTCCTCAACATAGTTAGCCGAACTTCTGAAAAAAAAAAAATGATAACAAAAGCCATTGACAAAGAGTTTTACCCCTGGAATACTTTAGCTAGATATGGAAGATGCATTTCCATACTGTGTTCAGCCTCATCAACATGAAGATCCATCACTTCAAACTTCCCAGTAGCTTTTAGTTCATCATTGACTGGCACAAAGCAAAATATAACAAAAGTAGCTATATTTTAGTAAAAGTCAAATTAAAATAAGAAGATCGCACGTGCATAGAACCTTAGGAATTTTAATTGCTAAATTTCTAGGGAAATCATATAAAGTTATGACTGCCTGTCTTCCATACTTGAAATGAACCTTCACTAGGTCCTCAAGTGACTCCTCTTAGATCATGTGAATAAACATTTGGGTTTTTTCAATGATAAATTAAACAACGAAGAATCCCTGCTTTTATATCATGTACTGCAAACGGCAATATCCCCATCCTTGCGAACTGAAGGAAGACCAAGAAAGCGCATCAATATACCTTCCTGATCAATAGGTAGATCACCAATGGGCGTCTTGTAGACCGTGGCTTTCGAGACCGCACATTTTGGAGTGTAATAATGGTGAGATGGGCCAAGAAGAAACACCCTAGAACTGTTGAACAAAAGAGTCAATACTATGATAAACGAAAAATCTTCAGCAACATAAAAAGGTAGGGGCAAAACCCACATGTTTTCCGGGTCTATGTTTCCAAAAGCATAGGCAGCTGCACGACCAGAATACGAATAACCTGCATGACTAAAGAGTATAAAACCGAAAGGTTACACTTGTGCTAAAACCGTAACAAAACAAATTTTCAATTCATCAAGAGCAATGGTATATGATGCCTTACGGTGCAATGACACCTCTTACATCCGAAGATTTTACAACGCCACAGGCCCTAAGCCATCCATCAAGTTCCTCCCCTAACTTTTTGGCTACAAATTTTACAGAGACAACAACACAGCATCAAAGCTTTTACAAATCTAATCAAACAATACTGGTTAAAGCGGCATTAGATTCACTTCACATATCACATATGCATCAAGAACAGCCCTTTATACAAAAAAGTTCACATAAAGAGAACAAATCTTTTCAGACATCAAATAGGTCATCTCAACAACGCAACCCATAGCCCACAACTGAAAAGGTTAGCATATCATTACAGTAAAAATCATAAGCAGGAATCTTCAACATCAACCCTTCTCTAGAGTGGAATCGAATTCCAAGAAAGCATGAAATTTGTAATAAGCAGGAAAATAAGGGGGAAAACGGGTGCTTACGATTGTCGGTGTACCATGAACCAGCATGCGATGCTCGTCTGATCTTCTCCATTACAGCGAATGCTCCGATGAATCCTTCGATTAATGTTTTTTCACTGTAATAATGCAAAAGGTAGCTTATCGTGAGAAAAAGTGTAAGAGAGATAAAATTGAGGAGTTTAATTAAATTCTGACGCAAAGTAACAACGAGACGGTGACAGAAAGCTTGTCTCACCCCACCGCCAAACCTACTCTCCATTATCAAATATTCTGCAAAGAGGAAGTGCAAAATAAGGGCTCCACTGTCATGAAATGCACCTTATGGGTTTTCCAATTAGGTTGGACCATATTTCTTTTTGTGTTTATGGCAAGTTTTCTGACCCGGCTGGTCGACCCGGAACCCGTCGACCCAGAGCCGGAACTGGTCCGAGTAGGTTATTTGGACCGGGCAACAAAAGACCCGATCAAACCCGGTCAAAACCCGGCTCAATAAAATAAGTTCTCCCAAAAAAAAAGGAAAAAAAAAATCCCAACAAACATAACCATATTTTTATTGTAGCTTGTTTTGATGTGTAAATTGTGTTGAATCGGGTTGAGAGTACAGTCTTTACGAAATCCTATCAACTTGGTGCTCTGATGACTTGCGCAAAAGCACTGGGAAGGGTCCCACTATAAACACTTTGACACTCAAGTTAGTATATGCTTGAGGGAGTACTATAGAATGGATTAGGCGTGTATGTAATGAGTTTAGTGAAAGAATCTGTTTGTTCTTATATACATATGGTACCTTGTCCTCTAAGAGAATCTTAGTTAGGAAAGAGATCTTACTCCCGTATCTACCTTCCTAACTCACCAGACTTTTAAGATCTTGAGACTCATTAACAACACATTTTCCATCAAGAAGGGACTCTTCCCTCTCTTACCCTACGACTCTTAGGTCTTCAGGTCGTACGCTCGACCTCCTTACCTAACCAATGTAGTTCGTACCTAGGTCGCAACCACGACATTCACCTTCACGACCTATACATCGTGAGGTCTCATCTGGTATCCGAGCTCCTTAGGTTCTCCGAGCTCAGTGCTATCTCAACTGATTAGAATTGTACCTTGCTTAGCGAGCTCCCTGACAGGCATATGTATCAAAATGAGCTTAGCTCCTAAATCGACCAAGACAAAGCTATCCGCTCTTAGCAAGTCTACCGAGCTACTTTGGGTGCTATATCATCTAGCCCCCCTTCTCATCCTCCCCCAAATTATTGAATGAGCTATCTTGACTTGTACAATAGTTATCTACTTCCGCTCAGCTGACGTGCCAACATTAAATGTCGTAAACTGCATTACCTCAATACTCGCACTTGTTAGAAACATCTATGTACAAACCTTAGCGTACTTTTTTTAGTACTTTTTTTAATCTGCACTGTGGACCCTTTTTCAAAATCAACGTCTTGGATCCATCGACTTTTGGTATCTGCCACATCCACCTTCTTTGGTCATAATCCAGACCACCCTGACGGTTTTAATCTGACGGCTCACCTGCGACCTCGACCCTTGCGCTTTTCTCTGTCGCTATAAAGCTGCGCAAATCTGGCTATTCCACTTTTTACTTTCTGCAACTTTTTAGATTCACCCCTGTAAACAAAATACTTCAGTCATTTTTGGGCCACCTGGACAGAAAGGAATAATGTGAAGCATAGGGATAACCCTATTTTGTGTTCTCATATTATTTTTCAGGTTGGCCGTCATCTCTCCCTCCTCACCGCTTTGGGCAGACTCACCCACAGAGACAGGACAGGTTGCTCGCCACCTCACCGCCTTGCACCACCTCCGCTGGCGCCTGTCCAGCATCCACGTCCCAAAGCTGTTGTTTGGTTGAAACCCGAGTCGCCTTGGGTTAACTAAACACTAATGGAGCCTTTGACTGACTTACTGGAGTTGCAGGAGGTGGGGCCCTGATTAGGGACCATAGTGGTGCCCTTATTACCGCTTTTCATGCCCTTGTTCGGGCCTCCTCGAGCTATGACGTGGAGGTTCAAGCGCTTTAGATCGGTCTTTAGATTGCCGCCTCGATCTCATCTCATATTTAGATAGAGTCGGACGTTGTCGCTGTATATGTAAAAGTCGAGCCCCATACCCGATGCCTCTTTAAGAAAGGCTGTCGAGCAGAGGTAGTCCTTGACCAGCTGCTCCCGGTATGCCTTCAGGAACAACTGACCAAGTTGCGACTACCACGAGCATGGCGAGACTGCTATATCGCGACAATGGCAGCAGTCTCGACCTCCTTCTTCTTCCCAGCCCTCTCCTGTTCGAGCAGCTGGTCCTGGGCCTTCAGCTCCTCCTTATGCAACTGCTCGTTCTTCTTCAGCTGGCCAGCCAAGTCATGCCGTAATTTAAGCAGCTCCTCATTCTCGGCCTTGAGTCGTTTCACCTCTTCCTCAAGGCTCTGGTTCGCACCCTCGATCACAAAGAAAGGTCGACCAGAGCTGGCCAAGATCTCCTCGACCAGAGGAACGACAGAGACAAGAGTCTGAAAATGAAACAAAGGATCATGACATGAAAAACGTAGGTATAAAAGCCAAGAGAAAAAAAATAGAAGAAGCATTAACACTTATCACGGCGTGTACCTGGGTTAAGGCCCGTATAAGATACTCGTCTTGTGCTCTCCGGTCGACATCCCAACGTTGGGTATCCTCGAGCGGCAGAAAATTCGTGAGGCGCGACACTACCTCCCTAGGACCAGCCGCATTAGGGAGGTTTGGAGAAAAGGTTGTAAGGGTTGGATCTCAGTGGGTTTGCCATCGATGTGAGGCCGTTTGTTGGGGAAATTTGGATGGTCGACCGATTGACCAGTAGGCGGGGGTATGACCAACACGGAGCGCAGCCGCTTTTTCGAGGCATCGGTTGTCTTTGTCGATTGGTCGGTTTTCTTCGGAGGGAAGGATGGGGCCTTCTGTTTTCTTGAGGTGAGATGAACTCTAGACCTATCGTACGCGAGGGTCCTTCCTTGGTCGAAGGAGCACCCTTGACCTTGTCAAAGTCAGTCGAGGAATCCTTGGCGGCCGACTTCATGAGAGGACTTCCTTATGTCAGGTTTGTTCAAAAATCCCTTTGCATAAGTTAAGCACAAAAAGATTAAGAATAATACAAGGAGTGTTAAAAAAACATAATTTCTAGTCGAGTACCTCGAGCTTGCATATGAAAGTCTGCAAGAGTTTGATCGATACGTAGGCTATTCAGGGTCTCTGAGAGAGGAGGAGAATAAGGGTTTGTGGGTAATTATGCCACAATGGTGAAGAAGGTGGTAGTTCTTAAGTAGGGAAGCGGAAGCAACAAGATTTGAGTTCCATAGGGCGATACAGCGGTCGAATATTGGGTTTCTGGTAAGGGTTTCGACCTCAAAAGTAAGGTCCTTGAGCCAAGGAGTAGCGGCCCAGAGAAAGGGGGTGTTAGGTGTAATATACACAAACTTTTGTTTCCAGTTAGGAACATTTGAAGGGCAGTCGGCAATAAAGTAGGCATTGTTTTGGGTTCTTAAGTGCAAGCCCCCATATTGCTTGGAGGCCAAATAGCAATAATAGAAAAATCTTAGGTCGAGTTGACCTAAGCAAACGAAGGAGAAAATAACAAAGGTAGTCAAAATCCTAAAGGCATTTGGGGGAAGTTGGTTAAGGGTAGACCATACAAACTGTAGAGCTCGAGCAGAGCTGCGCAGATGGGAAAACACAGGCCAAGGTCGAATTGGACCTAAAAGGTGTATGATCCTGAGGAGGGGGGGTTATCGTAAATATCGTCATCCCCGGGCCTAATTACGATGCCAGAGTGATTAACATGATCAATATCAAGCCAGTTGATGTTATGAGAAGAGGAGGAAGGACGTATTTTGAAGGAAGAAGGTTTGTTCTTGAGGCTCGAAGAAGAAGGTTTAGTCGGGTGGTCCGAAGAAAATGAGGGATAGTCGAGGAAGGTGGCATAGAAGAATGAGCGGAAGAAGAAAAGATCTGGGAAGAAATAGGGACAAAATCTCAGCATCATCCTCATCCTCGTCATCATGACCAATTGGTCGACGAGGACGCTTAGGAGGGGGAGGAGGATGGCTAGTGACATCTCCCTCAGGATTATCAATGAAGTATGAGGAAGGGGATACATCGATCGAGGGGCTATGAGGAATGACAATTGGTTGAACAATGTTCAGAGGCTCAACTTGGAGAATCTTGTCTACGGATTTGCTGGAAAAACTAGAGGTCGAGGAGGAAGAAGGGGAAGACATATCCCGACCGCTGTGGTGGTCGTTCTCACTCGAGGTCGCGGAATCTGAAAAAAAAAAAGAAAAAAGAAGAAATATTAAAGAAAATACGAGAACAGAAGTTCAAGGATATTTTACAGAGGAAAAGAGAGGAAGAGGAAAAAGTAAGGACCGTACAGCGGGTGGTCAAGCTTGAGATTACAGAGGATGGAAGAAGGAGCATGGAATAAAATTCGCATAGTTTTTTTAAGAAAGAACATAACAAATACAAGTTAAAGAATTGAGGAAACTTACTCATGGTGAATGATTGAGAGCTTACGGAGAAGACGACTAACTTAGGGTTGCAGAGAGCTCGAACTTGCAAGAGAGTAGAAAAGGTATAAGTGCAAAAATTTGCAGAAGGTGAAGAAAAGTTCTAAGTGTCAAAGTTAGGGTATTTATAGGAGGCCAAAATAAGAAAGGTGGATAGTCAACCGTTAGATGGAGATGAGATGAAGGGTCACGATGAAGAGACAGGTGAGCGGGCGTCGCAATATTAGTCGCAGGAATAAAGGCGTTAATCCAATGGCTGTTATAGATGGAGTGTTTAAAGAAGCACGAAATACAAAGTGGCACAGATCACGGAACAATGATGACGTCTGACAGATGAAGAGACGCGTCTGACACAAGGACAGGTGGCAGGATTTGGATTTCAAAAATAAAGAAGGGCAGTTATCACGATAAACGGTCGAGAAAAAAGTCAAAATGTCTCAGTCGGTCGAAATGGATAGAACGACGCCAAAAGGTACAGACGGAGACTTACTCTTAGATCGAGTCATTTAGACTCGACCAGAGTA